TTTTCTTGCCGATTCAAGGTTGCACAGATAGTTCCGTGATTTGTGAAGCATGTGTGTGGGAGTGTGGCGCGCCAGAGTTAGAAGATGATGGAAGGGAACTAGCTGTGTGTTCTGCAGGAGCCTCATCCTAAGGAAGAATTAAGACCTGCAGTTGAGACAGGGATTGGCATCCCAAAGTTCTCATTAAAGCAGCGTACGTGTGTGCAAATCCCAAGTGCAATAGGTGTGTAATGATTAAATAGCTGAGTAATACAGTCTTGCCTCTGTTCTTTGATGAGGTGCGGGAAGCATTATTTGCTGTTGTGGATTTGCGGGGAGAGGCGGGGAGCAAAGTGTTCTTGAGAACCGTAGGAACTGCGGTATAACCTTCCATGGCGATGTGCAGATTAAAGTGAAATTGTGTAGCCCTCTCTGGCCTGGTTGCGGGGTACTGCAGGTGTGGAGGAAGTACCTCCTTATTTTTCTGTAATTCATCGAAAGTCGTATTTTGTGCCTCTGTACCTTCAGAAAAGCAGGAAACTTGTCATCTTTTGCAGGGTCCTCCTGTCTCCCTGCAGTTTGTGTCATACTTGTAAAATTTACCCACGACTAGGAATTCAGGACATAGCATCTGGCCATCGAGTCACCTATGTGACCTGGGGAGCAGTCAGACCCCAAGTTGGGGTCCCACAGCATTTTGTTACACTCAGGCCATTCCTGAGGGACCCAGAGCCATTTCTCTTCTGTGATCTTGCCATTGCCTGCCTGCTCTGTACTCTCCCACCGGCTTCTTAAAAATACCTCGTTCACACTGTGCACTCTTCTCTGAATATGGTGTGTTTGGAAGCCAAAGGCCGGAAGACTCTTAGGATTAAGTTCTGGCTTTATTTCTGTTAGGATATTCCTCTGAGACAAGAAATGCATAACTGTGCACCTGCTTGAGCGGAAAGGAGGTAGAGGAACAGGTTGAATCTCAGAAACATTATCCGGTCACAGCTGTTTCAGAGTTCATGCAAATCGAGAAACTTCTGCCAGGTTTCTGGAGCTGTGGCCACTTCTCCAGATGGGCAGGCACTATGCCGGTGACAGAGCGCACAGCCCAGATCTTCAAAATTTCCATGAATGAGACCAAAATAGTCAGCCTCTGCCCATCATTTCACCCACTGGCCAGGCTCTTGGTTCTACCACTCCGTGACTTGTGAGTGAGGCAATCTTGGGTATGTTCATGTTCTTTCAGAATTCCTTGCACGTAGATGTGCTTAAGAAATCTTACCTGAGGGCCTCCCCTAGTGGCGCAGGTGGTTGAGCGCCGTGCTGTGAAGCTGTCTGCAGCCTCTGCAGCGCTGGTTTGATCCCGGCCACATGGCGCTGCAGAACCTCTTCTGTTGTGCCCGCTGCTCCCCTCAGCAGTGTATTTTGTCAGTGAGCCTGTTGTGTTCCTCGCTCTGTCTCTGGTGAATTCTCTCACCCTCCCTCTCATCTGGCCTGTACCCCAGTTCTTGAATAAATAAATCTTTAAAAAAAAAAAGAAAAGAAATCTCACTTGATATTGATTGATCATTCTTTTATTTTTGCTGATTTTCAATTTAAATTATTTTTTTTTTTTACTTTTTCTTTTGACCACTAGGTTCCCATTTGGAACAGAAGGAAAAGGAGCAATGAATTAGAGTCAGTTTGGGAAATATTTGTGTCTGTAAAGAAGAAGTGGGAGACAGTGACAAACTAGACAGATGCAGCCCTATCCTCTGAGGTCAGTCCCTGAGAAAAAACTCAGTGGTGACTTGAGCACCGACTTCAGCTTGCAAACGTCTGCGGAAGCTGAAAGCATTGCTGAAATTGAGCCCACTGTCCAATGGCGCAGAAACCAATAACCATGTCACCTGCTTTTGAGAAAAGAACCAGTTTAATGCGAGGTCACCTGGCAGGAGGCTGGAGCCCAGCATCAAACCTGTCCCTCTAAGGATGGGGCTTTGGGTGATATTTATGGGTTTGAGGAACAAAGAAAAATAGTGAAAATGCCGGTAGGTAGAGTCTGATCAGTTGCTTTCTGCTGGCTCATGGTGTCCTCTGAATTGGAGTCCTGAACTGCAACAAAACTGAGTAGCCCGAACATCTGAGTGCCGCCCATCTAACCATGAGCCAGCTTCTCAATTTGTCTTCCGCGGCTATTTTTCTGTCTGGGCAATGCTGGTCTCCTGGAGGACAGCGAACTCTCTTCCGCGCCTGTGCTCTGAATCTCAATTTATCAAGTTGTGATAAACTTATTTTTTCTTCACTTAAAATGAGTAGGGGTACTTTTATTCTTTTGTTTCATTTGTATGAGCTTGCTTTGCTGTCCTTGCAAGATGAGCAGAAACAGGAGAGGACCACCTCAGTTTCAAAAGATGCTAGGCTTGGTGGAATTTCTTTCTTCCTAGAGAGGACAGAAACTGGAATCAAAGCAAAGAGCAGAAAATGAGGACAAGAAAGATTGTATCGGGCAGCTGGTCCTGTGGAAAATCAAAGCAGGTGCTCTTTTACTCGTGCATGGTGTGGCTGCTGAGACCTCTGGATTTATTTGCACTTTCCTGCTCTTCCTCCCCCCCACACTGTTCTGGATAAACAATGTGGTCTACAGGAACAAGGCAGACATGGGATTCTTCTGTGGGTATGCATAAACCTTATCTCATATGCATTATAATTTTAATTGATTTAAAATAATCGCAGGAGTTCACCTGCCATGGAAAAATAGGGGGCTTAAAACCGTGGTCCAATTGGCTGTGAGCTGTGGCTACATAGTTGTTCAAGATGAGTTACCGGCCAGAAGAAGATCGTGCAGGACATGACATATAATATGGGGGAAATGTGGGTTGGAGGCTGATCATGTTGAATTCCTTCAAGTCATCAGTATTTAAAAACCAATGAGACAATCAAAAGGTGTTATTTCAGACTGCTCTGAACAACTTCTTTCAGAGGCCTGGAGAGGGGCTCAAATGCAGTCTCTGCTCTGGGAGGGAGAGCTCCGCTATGTGGGTGGCCGGGGAAGGTTATTTAGCGCCATTATGTTCTTAGGTGCCTACCAGGGTAATTCACTTATCACTGACTGGCATAATTATTATAGAGTCTCAGCGAACATTAAGCTGTGTTAATCACAGAACATTGTAATTGCTGTTAGAATGACCATGAAATGAGCCATACAATTTGAAAACACACTTAGAAGAGATGCAAATGAGAGTTATTATGCATGGGAGATTCAAGGGAAGCTGATTAACAGAACTAAGAATGGAAAATGGATTAATGACTATATTTCTTCACGCTATGTGACCATCGGCAAACTCTCTTTTTTGATTTTACCTGATATTAACATTCCATTAGAGTCCACACACCGCCGGGTGTTTTAGAAATGACATTGAAGGTGATGTGTTGACATTTTACCATTAGGTGTAGTGAGAGAGACTTTCCCTCTGTCTGAATTTCTGAAGGGAAGGCTCCAGAAAACTCATCAAAACCACCTCCTCCCCCTTTCCGTCAAAGTTCACATTGAGAAAAGACAGATTCTCCACATGTGGTGTGTTGGAGAGTGGAGAGCAAGATGTGCAAGAATCTGAATCACCATGTTTCCTTCACTGCATTCTCCTCAAATCTGTCTGCCCCTGCATTTTTGCTTCTAGGATTTTCTTCAATAGAGTTGCCTTATCAGAGGAGCTGGTAGGCAATTGCACGTACATCAGAGTATGAAAGAAGTTTATCTTTGGCATGAAAGCTGGAACTTTCTCCTGGGCTTCAGAAACCTCACTTGACATACACTTGGCCACAGGTGTGCTACCTTCAGACTCTGGGAGGATCATTATGGGGGGTGGAGGGATCCTGACTCCCAGCTCCACAGGTGTGAGCTCAAAATGGCTCTTGGTGCATCTTTTCCATGTAGGGGCCAGAATGCTGTAAGGTTGCCATTTTGTCTTTATGTCTTCTCAGTTCCTCTGTACTTGCCAGGAGGAAGAGCTTGAGTAGTTTATCAATATTCTCGAAATTGAATTATTACAGATTTGTATAATAACTCTAGCCAGGCAAGTAAATTGTCCAGTCCCTGTTTGAATACTTTCAACAATAAGAAATGCATCCCTTTCTTTGAATAGTCTTATTTCATTCTGAGCATTGAAAGTTGTTTCTTAAAATAGTCAAAATTTGGTTCTCAAATAAATGTGGATCCTAGTTTGATTTCTTGGACGAAGTTTACAGAACAAATATAACTATAGTCTTACAATTATTTCCACACCTCTCTATGTACCTGGAGAATTTCCATTTCTACACAAAACATATCCAGATTTAAATGAAAGGGTTTTGTGAATCTTTCTGATTCTGGTTTATTGCTAGTTTTCCAATAGACTTTTATTGCTCTTTCCTGCCCATACAGAATAGAGTTCATGTATGCAAAGGAAGCCACTTCCTTGGCCTGCATCCTGGATCCTGAATCTATTCTCTAACCCATGATCTTTGAGGGCTTAGAATGGGGAATCACTGATGAAATTTATATAGAATAGTGCCATAGAGTGACCTTTATTTTAGATAATCAACCTGGTCTTCTTGGGGAGAGGGATTTAAATGCAGATTGAAGGCTACGAAGAGTCATGCAGTTGTTGTAGTAGGGCACTCCTATGGGAGAAGCAGCAATGAGGATGAAGAAAGGAGGTTGAATTAGAAATGGTAGAGATGGAACGTGGGTGAAGGAGAAAAAGGAATCAGGATGATGTCAAGATATCTAGCTTAGGTATCTGGGGGTAAATGGTGGCATCACAGATAGAGGAAGAGAACACTGGAGAGTCAGTTTTAAGGAAAAAATAAAGTCTTTATAAGTGTACTATCACTTAGCTCTTATTCCTCCATTTGCTTCACAAAAATATGATGGAAAAGCTTATGTAAAGACCTATTGTTTGTAGATATGTAACAGGGTGCTCCCCAGGGAAGGGGAAGGTTCCAGGTTTCCTGCCCCACCCAAAAGGAGGGTGGAGCTGAGCAGGGAGAGAAGCTGCAGAGGAGACTGAGGAAGGAAGGAAGCAGGATGGAGCCAGAAGGAGACATGGAGGAGGCACATGGAGTTGAGAGACACGTGAAGAAACTGCGCTGGCCTCTTGGTCGTGGACGGGTGACACAGATGTGGGTGAGACCCGTGGGGAGTGACAATGGTGGTTTTTGTCTTGATTTTGATTTTGCTCTTTTCCTTCCACACTTGTCTGGTTGTTTCTGAGCCTTTTCTCTGGGTCCCCACTGGAAGATGCTTTAGACTTGTGGCAGGCTTTGGGGCCTTGCTCTGGGCCAATCCCATTTGGATGGACTTTTACCCACGAGGGGACGGGTGACTTTGAGTGCTTGATTTAGAAACTAGATTCTTTGCCTTTCCTGTCTTGTTTCCTAGTTGTACTAAAGTTCCTTCCCATTAAAGTCTCATGTTTTTTGTTGATGTGGTGGATGGCAGAAACTATCTAGAACAGGCAGGTTTGTGGGGCCTGGTGTGCCCCTCTCTCTGCCCTGTAACAGATTGACTACAAAGCCACATTCCCTCAATCTGCTAATCTAGCATTCTGCTGGAAAAAGGAAATGAGTTTTATTTGACATGGCTGCACATCAGCTGGGTTCTGCATCCCTCTTCCATACATTGTTCAATCAATAGTAATCAACTGCTGTGGTTGGAAGTGTTTTAGACTCTTTTTGCCTAGTGAAATATGTCAGATCATAATATGAGGATTTTATAAACATGTTTCTGAGTCACAAAAGGATTCAAGGCACACTCACTTTGTGTCTCTCACTTTAGCTAACTACAGCTAAAATAAGGTCTTTATTAGCAAGATAAAATAAGTCTAAGTTTTTCACTGAAATTTTAGAAGCCATGATATTGTTCATCTGAAATCTAATTCCTATTGTGATTTAGAGGCACTGGGTTTGGAATAATAATCCCTTGTAAAGGGATTATTACTTGCCACATTGTGGCAAATTGTAAGGAAATGACATGGGAAGAAACCATTCTTTTGTAAAATCTTAAAATATTCCCTACCCTGATGTCTGGTAGGCAACCCGTTCATGCTATTTATATTCATATCCAAGTCACTTATTTATCTACAAGGCTCTTCTGACTTCGGCAGGCAGTTTGATTAGTTATGGTAGGACATCTGGGACAGAGGAACTCTAATTATGACTTAAGTCATGGAAAGCTTGAGGCTCTTCTCTGTTTGACTAATTGAACACTACATGGGTTCCAAAGTCAGGTGTCCATCTGCAAGAAGCAGGCTCCTTAGAAGTGTATTGAAGGCTGGTGCATCCCCAGGGGAAGTATGCCATTTTTTCAGGGAGCTGTTGTTTCCAGAGAGGGTGCTGGGGTCACTATTCATAGATCTTTCGCTCTTTGTAGAGATGTCAAAACATTTTTGTCAAGTCTACCTCTTACAAAATGATGTCAATTAACTCACATTAAACAACTCGCCAGCAAACCAGAAATGCCCCATTTGTTTGTAACATTTTGATAGTAGAACACCTCTCACCAGTTAAAGAACGTGTACTTTTACCCTTTCAAGTAATAAGAAAGTGTTTAGGGGGAAAAAGATAAAAGATGGCCTCTTATTGCTTATAAAATTTTATTGAAAACCAAGACTGATATTTCACTGACTGATCTGTTACATTAAGCAGTCAGGATTCATCCTGATTGGCTGATTCTGTGTGGTCAAAATTGTTTAATATTTTGATTATCATCCCTGCTCAAAATAAACAAGCAACACTTACCACTATCTTGGTTTAGATATATTTTATATGGACATTGGAAGTTCTTTCAGTACCTTTTTTTTGTATGCAGTCTGGGATTTCTCATTGCCTTTTAGCGTTCCTTTAGAGATAAAGATTATATTAACTTAAATAATAATGTTAGAGAATAATCCCACTCATTCAATTTCAGAATATCATTTGGTGATTCCCATTCAATAGTCCCTCTTAATTATCAGCCAGATATGGGTTGATTTAAAACACTTGGTGAAAAAAGAAACTGTTTCCCGTCTATAATCTCTCAGCTATCACGGAAGATTGATTTTCCTTTTGCTTAGATTTAATCTTTGTTTTGGTCAATTAATTGCTGAAGTGTCTTCAACTTAATAAGAATAGAATTGGTTCTGTCTCAATGACATTAGACTTTCAAAAAAAAGTGTATTCAAATATGAGCTCATAACACATACTGTTTATAAGATGCTTTCCATCCCCCAAATATTTTTATTTTAAGTAATAATGTATAGGATCTCAGTAATGAAAATAATTACTTTGAAATTATTTATTTAGGATAGAAGTTGGCTTGATAGCATCTTAAATTCTCAGTCTAGGGAGCCAGTGTAAAAGGAACTCTGGATGGGGAGTTTCTTTTGCCCACCCTTGTGATTTTTTTGTTTTTATAATTAAGTATTATTTATATTAAGCATTTTTAAATATTCTGAGCCAGAAATCTAACTATTTCCCTGGTAGGGTTTTTATATTTATTTTTATCTCATCCTTGTTTTTCTAAACAAGAAAGAGAAAAACTGGAGTCTCAGGAGCTTGTTGTGTTTGAAACTTATTAAGTGTTGCCTCTGGCTGTAGAGATCAAAACAGAGTTTTTCAAGTGAGTTCAGAGGAGGCGGTCTGTCATTCAACTGGTGGTGTTGCCAGTAATTGTGAAACCAGGTGTTGCTCTTGGGAAATGAAAGTATTCGATTATCAAAGATTATGGCATGCGGGCCACAGCGAGGGCTGCTCTGCCTCTGTGCACGCCTGTTACCTTCGCAAGTGATAAAGTGAATTATTCAGACTCCATCCTCAACCTTCTGAGACACGCTCCTGAGAAGTGCCTTTTTCTCTGGCTTTCTTTCAGCCACCGCCCGCCCCTGTATTTGGAATGTCTTGACTATTTCAATCTCCGTTCTCAGATTATAATCCCAGGACCACTTGCCCTTGCTGCTGTTGGTTTGTTAACATAGTGATTTACATTGATTTGAAAAGATTTAAAGCAGGTTCCAACTAGGTCCCCACCAGGGCTCTCTGACATCTCCAGGACGCGTTTACAAGAGGGCACAGTTCCGTGTGATAGAAATGAGGAACCATTCCTGATTCCTACCTGGGTCTGGGCCATGACTTGGGACATTTGCAAACCCTAGAGGGAGGAAAATTTAAAAAACTGGTGAGAGAGAGAAAGAGAGAGAGAGAGTCTGATGCGGTTTACACTTAACCACTGCTCCTTTGGGTGTGTTGAGTTTTTGAGAGACAACTCCCTAAATTTTCCCAAAATTTCTTTTGTCCAACTGAGAGCACCTATTAGGCACTGATGTAATTCTTTGAAAGGTATTAACAAAAGTCTCAGGGCCACAGCCTCAATTTTATATTTACCTTGATGTCTTGTCTTCATTTGAGAATCTCTTTGTGGGCTGAGGGATAAGATCCTAACAAGCACTGGTCTCTCTATTCCCCCAAAATTCTCTTTGTAAACTGTGTGTGTTCGCCTCTAAGTCATCTTTCTTGTAGTGCCTTCTGAGTCAGCTGATATTTTCAAAATATTTTTTAATATTCTCCCTGAAATCAGATTAAAAAATTCATGAGGTACATTCTTTATCTTCAAGTCACTCACATGGCAGGTCTAGCAAATGTTTCATGACATAGGACATGGACTGCCATTTATCTAGTCTGTTCTAGAAGTTTCCTTGCCATTTTCCCCAGATTATTCCAATAGTTTCCTTGCCTTGACAACACTGAAATCTATTTTTTGTCTCCCCAGGCTTGTGAGGTTAAAAAACACTTGTTTAGTTTATCTGCTTTTGTAGTAGTGGCTAAGGAACCTTATCTTCTCAGCCTATACCTCCCCTGAGGGGAAGTGGCTTTCAGAAGTCATTTCTCAATTCTGCATTTGCCTTCTCACTGGGATCTTGACTCCTCAACTTCTCTGTGCCTTGGAAGCTCTCCAATGCCTTCAAACAAATCATTTTTTTTTCCTTTTGAATTTTAGTTGGCTTTTCTTATTATTCTTGGCATGAGAAATGAACTGCAACAAGCAACTTCATCACAAAAATGGAAAGTCCTGATTTCCAATTTAAAAGTGATCGCATTTGCTCAATTGATAATTTACTTACCATTGACACATTTTATTGAATGTTTGTTTTGTTCCAAGTATTGCATTACCTATAAAAGTCATAAGGATGAAGAAAATATAATTTCCAATCTTAAGTTAAGACATTCTAGGTAAATTTCCAGAGCATCCTGTTGGAACAACTCAATTGGGTCTTGGGTTAAACTGCCCCAGCATCCTATTTAAACAGGAGGAGTAGACCAAAGGACTAGTAGTTCTGCCTTTCATTTTGTTCAAATATTTTGGCCCGCTGGACTGACCAAAGTGCCTTGCTAGATACCTTTGTGGGGGGAGGGATATGGGAGGAGGGTTGCTGCTTCCCTCAGCTTGCTCAGCTGAGGGATGTCAGATTGTGCTTTGTGCCCTTCAGGTGTAGGACCTCTGAGTGAAAGCAGCAGCCCTGTGTTGGGGACTCCACAATAAGAACACCTTCATTTGATCTCCTGAATCCTAACATGCCTGAAGCTAGATCTACTTCTGAAGTTTTTAGCTATATCAATCAACTAGTTTCTTTTTTTCTCTCCAAGCCACTTGCCATAAAATAGACCCGACTGCATGGAGAGTTCCAGCAGGAGAGGAAGGAGACAAAACTGTTACTTAAAGCGGGTAAGTATGTTCTTGCTCGAGAAGTCATTCTGATACCCTCTTATCTTTCAGTTTCCAAGTTGTTTCATCTCTTAGTGAAGGGCACATGGAGGGGCCCCAGGGAGGGAAGGAGATAAGGGCTGGCTGGCCTGCCAAATGGATGTGGTGGCTCTCCCCACCCCTGGGTCGACTGAGCAGGGTTTATTAAATATATGAATTTTGGGACAAGGGGGGAATTGTAGATTAAGTACATTAATGAAGACCAATGTATTAGGTCACTAGGCAAAAACTCACCACGTGATCCATACAACAAAACACCAACATCAGTGGAACTCATCTTGCCAAATAGCCAACACTCAGTTTCAAGTGCTAAAAAAATGAGGCTTGACTTCAAGTAATTTTGAATAATTTTACACCATTTCCAATTTTAATTTCTCTGTGGGAAGGTAGGAAATGGTGACAGTAACACAAAGACTTTCTGGGCATAGAGAAAGGTCTTGCTTTGTGAAATTTGTGGTTTGACACTCTCTTGCTTTGGGGAAACAGTTTGCATTATGTGGCTTCAGAGTCAAAGTATAATGTGAATTTCATCCAAGTCATACATCTATGCCCAAGCTTCCAAATGAAATGGATGCTCTGACTCTACTTAAATAGATTGATTCTGGATTCACAAAGTTGGGTGGAAATATGATTACATATTCTCTAATTTCTACACAAACCCCTACCTTGACCCCTGAAAATTTTGTCATTTGATACTTCATTTCCTCTTCAACTAATATTTAGGTAAGAAATATGATCATGACCTTCTTACTCTTCTGAGAAAAAAAGAAAAAAAAGAATGAATCTGGTAAGTCAATGTTATTTTATTTGTTTTAAGACAATGTTATTGTAAAAGCAAATTCTAGACATGTATCTGTTCTCTAGGAAGAGGAAACCCATGTGAGAATTGGACTAGACCTTCTGGAATGTGGGGTGAATCAGATCTGTCTAGAATGTCAGATATTCTCTGGAATTCTTGGAGGGGAGATGCAGAAGTGGAGAAAGGACTCTGACTTCAAAGCAGGGGGTCTTAGAAATTGTGAAGTATGACTCCACATAGTTTTGCACACAGAAAAAGTTCTGTTCTGAAATTCTTGAGGTACTTTATGAAACTGCTGTTTATATTTTATATGTTACATATGGTGCTCTGTATTATATGATGGAAACAGGGTCAGAGAAAGAATTGCTTTTTTATCACCAATTGTCTTATGCGACTCTCCCTTCCTTACTTCAAGTAAAATCGGATGTTTGAGGGAGGAGATGGGACGGTGAAGTAGCTGGGAAAGACAGAACTGGATGCCACTAAGAAGGAAGAAAAGAGAGAGTACTTTCCAGAATAAATGCACCTGCGCTGAAGTAGAGGCACTGATACTGTGTGCGTGCGTGTGTGTGTGTGTGTGTGTGTGTGAGCCTTTAAGACTTGTGTATGATTATACCTTCATTGAATAACTTTGAAATTTCCTTCCCTGCTTCCCTCTCTTTCCCCTTCCCTTTCTTTTTAAAATTTCAAACAGTGATCTATCTACACAGTTTCCTTTATAAGATGTAGAGTACCTAGTTGACTTTTTCCCCATACAAATAGTCACTTGTTTCAATACCCTTGATTCATATATGTATGGGTTTGTTGCCAGGTTCTTCTCTGATCAACTTTTTTTTTGATTTCTAATATCCTACCTAGTTCCAGTTAATAAAGTTTTATAATATATTTTGACATATGTGAAAGCAAATCTTTTTTATTTTTTGGTTACTTTCAAAAGGTTTACTTTTTTTATTTTCACATACATTTTTAAGGTCTTATTCTTGGAAAGTGTGCCTTAGAGACAGCAGAATTCACTTTATTATTGATCTTTCAGGATAGGATTTATTTTACTTGCTTACATATTAACAACAAAAGAAGTATTTTTCCTTTACCCTTTTCTCACACTCATTCATTTTTTACTTCTGAAACATTTATCCTCCCAAGAGAAAAATATGAGCTATCTTCAGCCCACAGTAAAATTCTCTCTTCTTTTTCAAGCCCAGTGATTCAAGTGTGACCCACACCATGCAAAGGAGATGTGTTTCACCACGGTGAATCCTCACAGCAGCACTAAGAGATATAACACACGAGCAAGAGGAGCCCTGTAGAAATCACTTTCATTTCTGAAAAATGTAAAAATGCTCATTAATCAGTAGGAAGGAAAGAAACCAGAGAAGAACTATTAGTATTTCTTCATTACAGGTAGTTCTTTAAAAGTGTTTTTTCTTTAAATCGAGTTCAGAATTATTCTGTTTACACTGAAATACATTCCCAGTGCCATGGGGATCATCAGATACATATCATGGCAATATATCTGATTTCTTGCCCAAAATAAATAAGAGTTTAATATCAGTTCCATCTCTAGGTGAAAATAAATAGCTCTGAAAATCAATTTTTCTCATTTTCTTTCATACTTGGCCTATAATGGTTGTTTTATGTTGTTCCTATCAGAACTCTGAAACTGAGTTGGAGTTGTGTGTTATATTCCAGTTCTGCCTTTTCTGAAAGCTAAATGAAAGAACATGTCTTTGCCAGAAATTCAGATTTTTACATTGCCAGTCTAATTTGATTTTTTGTTGACCGTCCTCAGTCAGCCTGTGTTAGGATCCTGTGGACTTTTGAGTTAAACAGATTTGGGTTGAAACTTTGCTCAGCCCTTTTTTTCTTTAATTAAAGGTATCAGTTGTTTACATGTCTATATAACTTTGAGGTTAGATTTTTACTCCGTGTTAGGTAGACATGTCTCATTCACTCCTCACCAGGCCTCCCATGTCAATGCCCTCGTCCCTCTCTCCTGTTCCCTCTGGTAACCAGTATATATTTCACTAAGATTTGTTTTGTTTACTTTGCCAATATGTTTTTCACTAAGATAGCATAATCACCTTGAAATCCATCAACTTTGTCCCAAAGGCACTATTTCATCCTTTTTAACAGCTGTGTAGTATACCATTGTGATCCATATTTAACTCCATAACAAAAAATTAATTCTAAATAAACTCAAGATTTGGATATAAGAACTGAAACCATAAAATACTTAAAACATTAGCTACATGACATCTACCACAAAGTTGTATCTAGGGGTGTAACTCCAACAACAAGGAAAACAACAACAAAAATTATATATATGTATATCCTCATATATTATATGATATATGTATCAAATATAGTATATAGACTTTGTATATTTTGTAAGATTCATAAGTATTTAATTTTCTTGGGCACCAATGTACATGGCATTGTGTTTTTAATTTTAAATTTCACTTTTTCATTGCTGGTCTATAGGAAAGTGTTGATTTGTATATTAAATTTGCATTTTATAAACTTCCTAGGGTATTTTGTTCAATTCTTTTGGATTTTCTGCATTGACATTTTCTGTTTATTTTAATATGTGAGTTTTGGGTTATTATTTATTTGCTACAGAAAAACAATCATAAATTTGTATATTATTGTTGGTAATAACTTATCTACAAATTTAAAATGCTTTTAAAATCCTTATTGACTTCTAGATGTTCAAATCACAAGATAATATTTCTATATAATAAAAAACAATTCAGAAAAAATTATGGAACAATGTATTATAAGATGTGTGTGTCATACATCGTATATACAGATGGAGGTACATACACAAAATTTTAATGTGACAATGTCATCTCTTTGTGGGGATGCTATGCAATTTTCATTTTTGTGGATATGAATTTTTATGTTTCTACCTTTAAAATATGTAAAAGAGAAAAAATTACTAGTCATCAAAAGCAAGTCCATTTTGCAAGTGGGTGAAGTACTATCTTCTTTCCTAGAAAGGCAGAGAGTTGTAAATGAATGTTAAGAGATATAAGAAGTGAGATAGACTGTGTTCTTTGCCCAGAAGATCTATGGCATTCATTTTCAACTGCAGATGTATAAAAACAAGAAAGCCAGCCAGAAACATCACAAAATATTGCCCGGGCAGGTATGCTATTTAGGATAAACACAAATCAGCTGCCTACAGGACCCTTAAAAGCAGGTGATGACATTTCCTATTCTGGTGGGAGTGACAGCGTCACCAGTTTTTAAGGCGTGACACTTGCTGGCCCTGACAAAGACCAAGGTTCAGCCCAGCTACCAGCGGTGTCACTGAAAAGTCATTGAAACTCTCAGAAGTTTGGTTCCCTCATTAGAAAAACTGAGAAAACATTTTTATGTCTTTTACATGGTTTTTGTCAACACCAAACCAAATGAAATAATAAAAGCTTTGTGGCCTCTAGCGTTTTATGCAAATGCTAGCTATCATTCTGAAGATGCCTGTCATAGCCAAGGTTATATAAATTCTAGAGCTATTGAATATAACAGGAATTTTTGCTTGGAAAATGTTAACTCTTGCTGCTGTCGTCCTAATTATGTCCCTTTACACAGTCTTAATTTCTGCTCTGACCTTCAGTCTTGCACACCAGGGTGGGTCTATTGGATTTCTGACAGTAAAATCTGGGGTTTAGGAGACCCTTTGAGCAACGGTTGTCTAAACAGGATATAGTTTTGCAAGTTCCAACTTTCTTTCAGTCAGTACTTATAAAAATCTAGTGTTTATGGTGTTCTGAGTCCTGTAGTCACAGCAGCAAATGAAAGAAAATACCTATCCATGTGATGCTTACAATTTAAAGGCTGGGGTGGAGGGCAGCGATACAATAAAAACGAGTCTATAATAGGTCAGGTGTTTGCCAGGGCCCTGCTGGGCCAGCTTTCCACTCATGTTTGGTTGTGTCTGCCTTGCAATGAAAGGCAGCTTAGGAGAGGCTCAATTTCCTTTTCTCACCCCTGAGTTAGGAACCAAAAATATTCATGTATATTGCCCCAAAATAGGACAAAAAGGCATCCATTGAAAGGTACAGTTTGAAGAGAAATAAGTCAGAAGGACAAAGATGAACATGAATGACTTTGCTCACACGAGGTATACAAGGGAGCAAAGCAAAGGCATGGACCAAACCAACAAAAACAAACCCTTGGATTCTGACTGGGAACTGAGGTCACCAAAGGGGAGGGGCATGGGTATTGGGGGAGAGGTCTGGGTGTTGGGCGCTTGGGTGGTGGGGATGTTGTGATAATACAACTCAAGGGTATGAAGCTGTACTCACACATGCAGTGTGTAAACCAACACTACTTCAAGAAAACATCAACAATAAAGAAATAAAATAAATAGCTTACAGAAAGGTCCCAGCCCTTCTGTGCTAAATGGCTTGTAAATTCACCAGCACCCACCTTACTACATACTAAAGGAGAAGATTAAGAATCTGAGTAAGAGGAAACTTTTATTTTTATTTTTTGTGAAGTTTTACTTACTGAGGTCATGTTGATTTACATCACAGGACATCTCTTACGGGTATAGATTTATACCTCTAAATGTTTGTTATTCCACTACACCCACCATCGAAGCCTCAGCAATCCTCCATTCAGCCCCTTCTCCCCATTGCTCCCGGCCCACACATCCCCTTCCAGAGCCTCAGGCATGGTCCACTGTGCTCTTCCCTCCCTGTTTTCTCCCCTCGGCTCCCTCCTGGATGCCTCAGATCTATGGTCAGCTCTGAAGGTTTGTGTTTGTTTGACCTTTTGTTTGGTTTCTCCACATTCCACACAGAAGTGAAACTACCCAGCATTATCTTTCTGACTTACTTCACTTAGCATAATGGTCACTTTTATTTTTTACTTTTTTAAAGATTTATTTGTTCATGCATACAAGAACCAGGATATAGGTCAAATGTGTGGGAGGGTGAGAGGATTAGCCAGAGACAGAGTGGGGAACAGAACAGGCAGATTGACGAAATGCACTGCTGAGGGGAGCAGTGGGTGAGACAGGAGAGGTCTGCTGTGCCATGTGGGTAGCTCCCTGGGCGGGGATCTAACTTGTGCTGCAGTGGCTGCGGACAGCTTCATAGGTTGCGTCTTAACCCCTTGTGCCATCAGGCCCCACTTGCGCCACCAGGCCCCACCCTAACCCACCCTAACCCATCCCAACCCACCCCACTTTTAAATGGTCATGATGGCTTTAGAAAAGTTTCGCGGCTTACAGAGAGCCTCCTCACGTGTTTGCACTAATCTACACTCAGCTAAGACTTCAGGCGAATCTGCAAATCTCCAGCGCTCTCAGGGCAGATTTTTCCTCCAAGCCAACTCTACTCCCTTGGCTTCTCTGTCTTCACACATCAGGCTTCTTGTTACTCAGCCAAGTAAGTGAAAAATAGTAGGGCCCTCCAATCTCCTCTGCTCCCCACTTGCAGCTCTGCTTGCTGCCTGTAGGTAACCCCAGTGTCTTCTTGCTATCTCGTCCAAAACAGATATTCTGCAGTTTCTAGTGTGAGCTTGGATTGCTTCCTAATTTCAGATGAGATCATTTTTTATTCTATCCTTTATCCTTTTTGTTCACATAAGCATATTTCAAACAATTTGTTGAATGTCTTTTTTAAACAGCCATTTTCTCTGGACTTGTAAAAGTTTTTTTCAATTAAGAACTGCCTAAAACTTATTATTATTTGTTTTTAATTTCTCTGCTATTAATCATATGGGCAAATGATTAATCACCCTATCCTTTTTTTCTTAGGTGGGGGATGTGAGTTTGGGATTAGAAGGGACTGTTTTGATGGAAATAAATGAGGAACCAGTACTATGAAAATGGACTGTGAATTTTTAACTTTTATGCAGTCGGTGTGGTTTCTTACAAATTCATGGCACTGTCTTTGTACCTTAGTATTTACTACAAATCACTAATATATAATGGCGGTATAATAACTGCCATTCCTCTTGTACTTTAAACTGCAAATAGCTATTTTTTTAAAAAGAACGGTGGCTGCCTCTAGCCAGCAGTCCCCAGCACTTGCTAGATGAAAACACTTAATGCGTACCCCCACGCTTGCAGGTGGGAGAATAAACCACTAGCCATTTCATGGCATCAGGAGAGGATGGATCTGTTGGGGTGATGCTTCCTTGCCTGGGGCGCATATGTGCACCCTGGGGTCCCTTCTGTTTCCATCTCCATCCCTCACCTTGAGCCTGTGGGGGTGCCACAGGCCAAGTGAAAGCTCCTGCTCATTTTTTAGAAATTGTCTTCTGATGTCATTTTTCTTTATCAGTCATTTTTCTTTCTTTTTCAGCCATCATTTATTTTCCTTCCACCCTGTTTAACTGTTTCCCTTGGTTTTCTACACATAACTTTATTTCCAGCTTGTCTGCAGAGCAGTTACACTTAAAGCTGTGACTATAAGTAAGAGAGGAAACGTGTTATCTTCTACAATAAAGAAGATGGTGAGGGTATCTGTGTGCGGTGAGAGAGAGGAAGGAGCAATCAGTGTAGCTGATATTTACCTGCCACCTCAGGTCTGAATGTTCCTTAGAGCTTGCAAGGGAGAAAGGGAGTGGGCATTTTGGAGGTGCTGGAAGATCCGTCCAAATTTCCATCTCAAAGATTGCTCCAAATTACATTACAATAAGAATTCACTATATTGACAATAACATGCCCTAAGTTCAATGGCTAATGAAGCCGTTTTCCTGTTGTTTTAACTTGCACTTTAAAGCAATGAATCTGGGAATAAATTAGTTCAACTTTAAAATGCACATGCATAGAAAAGCACTTCATTGGTCAGAAAGTAGAAGGAATTTTGTCAAGTTAGATGTCCTGAAAAACAAGATGGGTATGTGAATCCTTCTAGATGGGGTGATCTGCTAGTGGCCCTGGCACGGCTTACGTGGCCTAAGGTGTCTGAAACATTCCAGCGAGTCTGTCAGTCATTCCACAAACACACTTCTGAATGGTGTCTCTCTGCTCACTAGCCTAGGCACACAGCGGCCCCACAGCCATGGCCTTCAAGAAACTCAAGCATGCTGAATGGGGGTGGCGGGTGGGGCAGGTGGCATATGAAACCCACAAACAAAGCCAGAGTTTCAGAGTGTACCGAGATGCCTCCAAGTCTCGTAACTGCTATGAGGGTGCACCAGAGAAAACAAGAGACAGAGATGTCCTTATTCTAGAGAGAACCACAAAGCTATTGCTCGTTGCTGACCTGGGTCTCCTGGCAAGCTCTCCCAGGCTTTGTTGAACCAGAGCTTCTACTGGCCCACTCTGTACAAGGTGAGGACTGTGAAGGCAAGAGATCCATG